TGAGAGCCCTTGGGCTCTGTGGGTGAAAGCCAGGGGTGCTCTGGGAGCAGATGGGGACAGAGGCTGCCTGGGCCCAGCCAGCAACACTGAGGGGGACAGGACCAGGCTGCCCAACCCCAGGGCAGGGGAAGGTGTCCATGTCCCAGCCTGGATCGCCCCAGTGGCTGGCCAGGGAAAAGCACAGGGCAACCCAGCGGGAACCTAGTGGGCAACAGGCATCCTGGCTTCACCCATCAAGGGGGCTGCTTCTGGGGAGAGGCCGGGACAACAGGTGAAACAGCAGACAAGCAGCTATGGGCTAATGGGCACGTGGGGACTCAGGCACACTCACACGCATGTGCACACACACCACCTGACCGGCAGTGTCCCCAGCACACCCTCTCCCCCCGTGGGTCTCCATTTGCCCCTCTCCTGTTGTGACCATTTGTTTTCTGTGTATGAGCTGCTCACGGGCACAGGGGTGTCACTCGGTGATGAATCTCCTGGTTCCCTGTGTGGATGGGGTGGGTGACAGGTAAGGGTGGGGCTGGGTAAAGGCCATGGTGGGCGCCTCTCTAACAAGTCATTTCCCGGGGAGGTGCTCACCTTAGTGGCTGGAAACTACTCTCAGTATAAAGAGCTTCAGGTCACCTCCCAGTCACAGAAGGACTAAGCAGTGGCAGAGACCCCCTCCCCCTCGAGGGTGAGTGTTTGGGGATAGCATATCCGAACGTGCTGACCAGACTCACAGGGCCCCCCCCTGCCTCTGCCACCCGGACTGAAGCTAATGGAGGGGGCTCAGACCAGACCAGAGAAGTGTCCTGAGACTGTAGGGAGGTCCGAGAGTGGGAGCAGTGCCTGGGGTGTGGGGGAGAAGGAGGGGGCCTCTTCCCTGATGCAGGCCCCAGGTGCTCTGCGAAAAATGCCCCCACGCTGCTGTGGCGCTGGCTGGGCCAGGCCTCACCCTGCCCTGTGGAAAGTCCTGGGGAGGGCCGAGCACATCTGGGGCTCAGGCAGGGACGCCCACCCGCAGGAGAGGGGTATCGGAGCAGCCTGGCACAGCTCTGCCCACATCTCCTCCCCCGGAGCAGCCCAGTGACTGGAGGTGGGTGCATGGCAGGTGGCTGGCACATGCTCCGTCCTGGCCCAGATCGCAGGGCCGCGTCCACGGGAGGCCAGCCGAGTACGTTCTCCTGGTAGGAAAGGCTCCGGCTGCAGGGCGTGGTGCAGTGAAGAGGGTGCCCAGGGACCGGAGGGGACACGTCCCCAGACAGGGCTAAAGCCACATTCCTGGAGAAGATACACAGCTGACGTTCAAGTTCACGATGGTAGCAGCTGCCTTTTAAAAACTTTTTTAAATCTATTAAGGGCCACGAGCTTATGTCCACACCCCCAGTTCCTAGGAGGCCTCTATAACACACAGTATCCTCTTTTTAAAGATGAAAACCCGAGGCCCCAGGAGATCGAGGGCTGTGCCTGCGGAGGCAGAGCGGATCCCCCCGGCCCCCCTGACTCCCAGCTCACCCCCACTTCCCCGGTCTCTACACCCAACAGGGCAGCATGCTCCCGCAGCCCCCGGGGCCTCCGAGTTGGGGCCCTGGGGGAGGGGGAAGGAACGTGAGGACCTGCAGGGATGGGACCAAGGCGACCTGCCCCTTCCAGAGGCTAGAACTGTCCTGCCTGGGAAGGGGGGCCGGGTCAGCAGGCCCTTCCCGCCCAAGGGTCAGCATTCAGTGCGACGAAGGCCCCTGGCCACGAGGGGGCGCCCGACCCCCGCCTTGGGGCCAAGTGCGCAGGCTGAGGGGTTCCCGCCAGAGGGGCGTCCTGGAGCCTTTCTGAAGGTGGGGGCTCAGTGAGCCCAGTGACGGCCAAAGACCCCTCAAAACAGAGGGAGCCCTGCGAGAACCTGGAGGTCTGGGAGTGGCTGGAGCAACGTTCCCAACTCTGCTGGGCCAGAACCCGGGTTTGTGAGAAAGGCCCTAGGTTAGAATCAGGGGAGAGCCGGGTGAGCATCGACCTGGGGTCCAGGAGATGGAGGTTCGATTCCCCGTCAGGGCACATGCCCGGGTTGTGGGTTCGACCCCCAGAAGGGGGCGTGCAGGGGGCAGCTGATCAATGACTCTCTCATCATTGATGTTTCTATCGCTCCCCCTCCCTCTTTCTAAAATAAATATATATATATTTTTTAATTATAGAATCAGGGGAGAGGAGAGATTTCCCGGACTAGGCCTTCCTGCGTAGCTGTGTAGCTCTGACAAATACTTGGAACCTTGTGGACGTGTTACACATTCAGTAAATAAGATTCGGTAAGGATGCATGCGGAGGTCAACCCTAAATCTGAATAAAGTCCATACCAATGAGCCGAGTTATATACCAAACAGAGAACATAACTGCACCAGGAAACAGGGAGAAATAACTATTTCAAGCAGCTTTGAATACAGTACTTTGACTTCATGCCCTCAGTCTGAACATACACACACACACAAACACAAACAACAAAAAAACCTGCAAAATAATCTAGGACTTTGCTTAATAGATTTGTGGTTGGTGGAGATAGAAACGTAACAATCCTGGCACAAGCTTTGTGTTTTATAGACTGAGAAAGTGAGCGAATACACTGGCACTGCCAGGAGCCAGAGCGTTCCCTGTGGGAGGAAAGAGACGGCCGTGGGAATGGAGGGAGGTAAGTGTGCCTGTTTCCTGGGGCCGTGGTAACAAAGAACCGCAGACTGGGTGGCTTAACACCAGACACTTACCATCCTGGCTCCGGAGGCCGGACGCCCGGGATCGGGGTGTCGGGGGGCGGGTGATCCGCTCCAGGCCCCCCAGCTGCTGGTGGAGCGCTGGGCGCTGTGGCGTCCTCAGGGCAGGGCCCCCGTTCCTGTCCTTATCTTCACGGGCATTTTCCCCGCCCGTGTCTGTGTCCAAATCGTCCTTTCCATAGGGGCGCCGGTCATCCCATTCTCCACTCACAGGGACAGTACTCCCTGGACAAATGAGTGCTCCCAGGGCTGGGCAAGGAAAGGTCCGAGAGGAGCCCGGAACTGCTTGCTGGGCCCCCCAAAAGCAAGGCAGCAGAGCAGGGGCGCGTCAGCAGGCGCCCAGCAAGCCCACCCGAAGGGGGTGCTCCCGGCCCATCGGGAGCAAGTCGAGCGTGGGAGAGAGTGACCACAGCCGCGGGTGATGACACAGCGAGTCGAGGACAATGCCCGAGTCCCCGCGGATTCTAAAAACGAAACACAAAATAAATGGGGGAGGTGGGAAAGCTCTTTATCGTCGGGAGACAGCGAATGTAGGCGGGATGAGAGAAACCAAACGTCCTGCACCCGTCGTCGAATAATTGATTCAAACAAAAATACTGAACCCGCGAGTGAGAGGTTGTTAGGTAGCCAGGTATTTACAGTTTCAAGGTCTCTGGGCAAAGAGTAATTACAAGGGGGGGGGGACACCTTTTCTGGGGAGATATCTGGAGGGCGCCCAGAGCAGCTCCTGGCATTTCTGCCAAAATACATCATCCAAAGCGAACCTGCAGCAGGCGAACCAGCAAGTGAAATCGAGAGCCCTTCTCAAAACAGTGGGTTTGCATCTTTCAGATACGCCAGGGTCAGAAACACAAAGGTGAGAAACTTCCAGATTAAAGAAGGGGATTTTTTACAGGGGTTGATAAGCTTACCCTAAATTTTACCTAGAAGTAAGAAAATAAAAGTAAATCCTTGAATAGGTAAGTCCACTTTTAAAAAGGAAAGCAAACACGGGATTTACCACCCTATCGGAAAGTAAGACAGGCTACAAAGCTGTTTGAATAAAAAATAGCACAAAACCAGGTCTATATGCAGGAGTTTATAATGATACCAAAAAAAAAAAGCAAAAAGGTATTATGTCTAGACAATGCTGGGAAACTGCTTTATTCTTTTGAAAGCAGATAAGTAAGGAGAAAGACCAAGCATTTATCCTGCTTTCCGACATGAACTGTACCTCAGGGTTAAACCAAATATGTGATGACGGGACGTCTCTCTGTATGTGTTCCAGCTAACAAAGGGGGAATGAGAAAAATTAAAATATCACCGTTGTCCCCTCAAAAGTCACATGTTGAAGCCCCATCCCCATTTGGAGCCGGAGCCTTTCGGGAGGGAATTAGGGTTCCATGAAGCCATAAGGGTGGGGCCCTAATCCAATAGGACTGGCGGCCTTCAAAGGAACGGAAGAGACGTCGGAAATCTCTCCTGCCCTGGCCCCGCCTCTCCCTCTCCCTCTCTCCCCCAGAGGAAAGGCCTGTGAGGACTCGGCTGGAAGATGACCATCTGCGAGCCGAGGAGGGAGGCCTCCCCAGAAACCAGGCCGTTTCTGTTGTTTAAGGCGCCCCGTCTGTGTTCCTTGGTGACCGGCCCTCGCGGTTCAGACAGACAGACACACGAGCACCGCTTTGCAGCCCTCGGCGAACTGCAGATCTGGGCAGCGATCGCCAGGGGCTGAAAACACACAAAGAGGGATGAGACCCACGTGCCGCTGAAGGCACCGCCTAGGAAGTCAGCGGCCAAAACAGAGGCAGAACACCCCGAGTCTGATCAAACCTTTAGCCCTAAGTAGTAACCCACGCCCCACACCGGACAGGGGAACCGAGGAGCCGGCGCCACGGGCGGACGCAGTCAGAAAATCCAGAGTGCGGGGACTTGAACGAGATCTGGTTTCTTCAACAACAGAAAGATTACAAAGAAAATAAAACAGAGGAAACACCTACCGGTGGAAAGAGATTGAGGAAACGCAGCAGTCTCGGCGTATGGGCCTCATTTGGATCTCAGGTTAACAAAAAGACAAAAATTTTAAAAAAAAACACGAAAACCTTTAAGACCATCAGGGAAGTACGAACACTGATTAGGTTTTTAATAACATTAGGGATTATTTTTAATTTTGTTTATGTGTGTAGTGGTCTCAGGTTTGTTTTTTCTAAAGAGCCTTTATCTATTAAAGACACATGCTGAAATCTTTACAGGTGAAACGATATGCCTGGGATTTGGTCCGAGATGATCCAGAAGGGTAAGACGTGGGAGGAGGGAGGAAAACACACGCTCCCCAGGCCCTGTCGCCGCTGCGGCTGGAGGACGGCTGTGCCAGGTGCTGGACTGTTCTCTCTACTTTTAAAAGCTTGAAATTTTCTATAATAAAAAAGGGGTTTTTTGCCCAGCCAGCGGTTGAGCATCAACCTAGGATCCGGGCGATCGGGGTTCGATTCCTGGTCAGGGCACAGGCCCGGGTTGCGGGCTCGATCCCCAGTCGGGGGCGTGCAGGAGGCAGCCGATCAATGACTCTCTCATCATTGATGTTTCTCTCTTTCTCCCCCCTCCTTTCCTCTTTCTGAAATCAATAAAAACATATTTTTTAAAGTAAGTAAATAAAATAAATTATGAGAGCGCCAGATAAGTGGTTTTTCATCTCAAAGCACCTCCCTCTCTTGCCAATAGAAGGTAGGGTGTGGTGCACAGTGTTTCCCCCTGTGTCCTGTTCCCCTCAGTTCCATGTGCAGGGAAAAGAGACCCCCTTCTTTTGAGTCCCCCAGTTNTGTGTCCTGTTCCCCTCAGTTCCATGTGCAGGGAAAAGAGACCCCCTCCTTTTGAGTCCCCCAGTTCACATTGCCATGGTGAGGGACCCCCAAAATGTTCCTCATCATTTGCAGCGTTTCTCAGGGGAGATTTCAAAGATGTGGAAGCCGACGGGAATATTTTAAGGAATATTGAGAAAGGCTCCCTGGCTGCCAGGAGTGAGGCCCCGGCGGTTTCCCGCCTTCAGAGTCTCTGTTCTCATGAGCCGCCTGGAAGCCGCCCACAGGGCAGGGTGTCGTTTTTGAAACACGTCGGGGGCTGACCCCAAGCTGGGGGGCCCCCTCTCAGGGTGGCTTGGGGCTCCCAGGTTGCTGATGTGCAGCAAAGCTGTGCTGGCTGAAGGCCCGATGGTCCCAAGAGTGTTTCCAGTCCAGCGCTCGGCGTGTGTCATGCGGAGGAAGGAAGTGTGTTCAGCAGGCATCTTGTACCTGTCCTCTCCCATCGTGGACCACGCTGAGTCCACGGAGGTCAAAGGACTCGTCCAGGGTCACGCAGAGGAGAGTCAGCTTGTGCCCCGTGGTTCTGGCTTTGGGGAGACAAACGGTGAGATCATGGGAGCGAGCCCCAGACGCTGCTCCAGGATCCCAGACTAAAACCACAGATGAGGTCACGGAGTCAGGATGCTGGCTCCCGGGGAGGCCTCCCTGCTCTGCCAGGCCGCTGGGGGCAGGAGGGTTAGGGGCTCAGACCCCACCTGGGAGGACCCAGGTTCCAGCCCCTGGACGCGTGTGCTGCTGCGTGAACTCGGGGAAGTTACTCCATGTCTCCGTTTGGCTTTCTCCTTAGTGAAACCTGTCCCCCTGCAGAGCCCTTGTAGAGGTAAAACAGCTCAAGGCAAAGAATGGTGAGCGTGACGCAGGCACACTGTGGGCACCCTTGGGCCCATAGTAGGTGGGGGGAGGCCTGGGCACAGGCCCTGCCTCCCATGGGTGACTGTCTCGGGGGAAATCTCACAGCCTCTCTGGCCCCTGCTGTCCTCCCACCTGGACGTGCTCACTCTGAGCTCACAGAGACCTGACCCTCAGCAGTGTTTCTGCTCAGAGTCAAGAGTGCAGCTCATGCCCGGCTGGGCGTGGCTCAGCGTCGACCTAGGATCCAGGCGATCGGGGTTCGATTCCCGGTCAGGGCACATGCCCGGGTTTCGGGCTCGATCAATGACTCTCTCATCATTGATGTTTCTATCTCTCTCTCTCTCCCTCTCCTTTCCTCTCTCTGAAGTCAATAAAGATATATTTTAAAAAAAAAAAGAAGTGCAGCTCAGGGGGTCACTTCCTGGGGTCCTGTGTCTTCAACCCAGAGCTGCCCAACTCCGGTGGCTTGAAGAGATAGTAGGACCTGTTACTATTATCTGTATGCTAACTCCTGGTGCATTGCTTTACTGTATAAAAGTACTTTTCCCTGCACGATCTTATTTATCTCAGCAGTCCCATGAGGTAGGCACTATGGTTTCCATCTTCAGGGCCCGAAGCCTCAGACAGATGAAGTGAGTCACTCGGCCAGGAGTGGCTGGCATCCAAGGGCCTTTCCCCTCTGCCCCACCCCCTACAGAGGTTGGAGGAAGGGTGTGGGGACAGGGAAATGCGGGGTGCATTCAGGAAACGGGGAGGAACTATTTGAGGCGAACCTGTAACCCTAGGACGAGCGGAGCTTCAGCCAGGAGTAAGACGTTGAATGTCAGGCGGTGGAGAGCCTCGAATGACATGCTAAGGAATTTGTAGTTCATTCTAGTCTCGTTAAAGAATTACACACTTTACATTGTACATATTTAGAAAAATACAGGCAGGGGGCGTGGAGGGATTGAGCAAAAAAGCAAAGAATGAGAAAGAACTTCCAGGCACTGGCAAGGGCACAGACACGGACACGGACACGGACATGAACACAGACATGGACACGGACAATGGTGTGGGGATTGCAGCGGGGGAGGGGTGGGGGAG